CCGCCCCCCGGCCCGCCCCACAGCGCCCACCGCTCCCGGCGACGCTTCCCCTGCCGGGTCCCTCCCGGCTCCCGACAGTGCCCGGGGCCGCCGAGGGCCGGATCATCGCCCCGCTCCGGGGAGGCCCAGCGGGGCAAGGGCACGTCCCACACTAGAAACGGCCACGCGACCCTGCCCGGCTTCTCCCCGGGGCTGCTGCTACTGTGTGAAGTACGTCAAACTGCAGGTACCCCAGCAATGCCCTTCGGTACCCGCATCCCTCTAGCGCACACGCAGCCCCCAGCCCGCCTCAGCGCTGAGCTGCCGGCACCACCCCTCTGTGGGGGGGGTGCGCACACCAGCGTTGTGCCCAGCCGGGGGTTACAGCCAAATGGAGCCCAGGCCCACTGCAGGCAGCTGCTCCTGCTCCCTTACACCTGCTGCCATTCCACCTACGGGTCGGGCTGGTGTTACCAGGAGCCCCTCAGGCCCTGTTTGCATTGCCCTACATACTGAGAAGTGACTAAATAACATTCAGTATACTTTTACCTGAAGAGATGCTAAGTAGAACAATGAAAAATGCCTTGGTGGTACTGATTCCTTCCATTATAATCAGACAACATATAAATACATCAAGGGCTTCACCAACAGGAGCAGCTGTTGATAAGATACAGCACTGTTATGGCAAGTCAAATCTAGAACAGACCACATGATAACTTTCATTAACATTTGAGTACTACCAGGGCTAATCACAACTATTTCAGTGTGAAAACAGTTTGAGAACTAAGAAAAGCCCAAGATGAGGCAAGATCCAAATAATTTCTATCTCTGGATGAGACACCAGAGTCTACCTTTGCTATCCACACCACAGAGCAAGAGCCATCCTGCCAGCGTAGCACTGCAGGGATGGGGCAGGAAGAGCGGCAGCACTGGGGCTCCACCGGCAGCACGGGGCCAGCTGAGGGCACCTCAGCTCCTTCTTCTTTAGAAGAAGAAAGGAGTGATCCTCAGGGACACTTTTTACAGTAAGATGGGAAATCGGAGAAAAAAAAAAAAAAAAGAAGAAAAAGCAACTCATTTTCTTCTTTGAAGAATTCCTGCTTCATTTATTGCGTTTGTAATACCAGAACCTAGCACTAAGCCAGAAAGAATCCTGATCACATTACAAGCTTCAATAGCAAATAATTTATCACTGGATAGATCACTAACTTATGAATATACTAAAGCATTTTTATCAGTTTTGGCAAAAATGTCATTTGTCCCTTATTATTTACAATGGCACCTAGAGACCCACTAAAGAAAACCTCCATGATGCTGGATGCTCTGGAAACAGACCAGAAAATGTCCTTACTCTAGAGAGCTTACAATCTAAGATAGCTTTGTAGATGAGTATATTAACAAGTACTTTAAAAGCTGTCATGCTTTGCAAGGTTCAGAACTATAAGAACAGATCCAAAACATTCAAGATAAATATTCAGATTTGGTGGCCAATTTCCCATACGTGCCACTTCACTCATCAAATTAGCCAGATGCTGTAATCAATTTTAATTTCCTCCATAGCAGGATAGAGAAGAACAGAGTCATTGAAAGGATGGTGAACAATGCTACAGCCAAGATTCTCAACAAGCTTGAATGAACTGGGGTGACATAGACCTTAAATGCTCAACTCACAACCCTTTCAGAGAGGGTAATTTTCAGAAATTACTAATCTTTACTTTCAAGTCACCTACAGTGTTACAGGATAGGTTTCCAGACCCTGATGCACCACACAAAGATATCCATTAAGCTCTGAAAAATTCTTATCATTTAAGGTAATTTTTTGATGTGCTGTAAAACTATAACGATGAGTGTCACCTGTCTTTTTAAGAAAAAATAGAGGATAGCCAGAGGCAAAAAGAATCACTTAAAACATCTACGTACTGACATGTATTATCAGGCAAGAAGGAAAAAGAATGACAGTAGCTAACTGTAGGTGTTCCAGCTGAAGCTATAAATTTATGTGGAATATTTCTGTAGATGTTCCTCATGATCATCATCCCCATGTTGCTGTTGATAATGCTGGTACATCTTGGACCCCCAGGCTCCCCCCATCCCTTCTGCTGCTGGAAAGTGTCCGTTGGACATATTGAGTATAATGGAGGTCAAGGATTTAATGTAATTTTTGGCTAGCGTGAGAGTCTCTATTTTGGAAAGTTTATTCTCTGCTCTTACATGAGGGATCACCTCCCGCAATGCCTGGAACGCGTTGTTGAGCTTGTGCATTCTCTGCCTCTCCCGCTCATTGCTTTCCAGTCTCCTCAAATGCCTGTCCTTACTGCTCCAAGGATGCTTGGCTCTGGCTGTGGTGACCTTGCTGCTCTCCTTGTTTCCCCCATTCCTCCTTTCCTTGCGACGCAAACATTTCACCAGTTCTTTCTTTCTCATTGCTGGCTCCTCAGAAAATGCTTCTTTGTCAGCAGTATGCCTTTGTTTCTTTCGTTTGGTTTTAGTCTTCATGTTTTAATTATCCATGTGCTGTAAAAACATGACACCAATATCTTTAACTGTTTCACAGTTCCATGCTGAACAAATGATCTGATGCAGATTTGATAAGTTTTTTACTTGTTCACTACTGGAAAACCATCACTGGCTCTCAATTCAGTGGTTTGCTTTACAAGTTGGGAATGTTATTAGTCAAGGTGACCTGTGCAGATGAAGAGAGGAGAAAATCCTTTTTTTAGAGAACTAGAGATCCTCCTTCAGCAGGAAGGAAGATGTTGCAGAAGGAGCAGAGGCAAAGTGAATGGAACAATTGAAAAAAAGATTCAGTGAATCACCAACTAGCGTCCTCACATATGGTAAGTCAGAGGAAAAAAAACAAGACACCTCTCTACTTTCTTATAAGTAGGCCTCCAAGTAGAGGCATTTCTCTCACTGCACATAAGAGAAAATGGCCTCCAAGGGGATCCCGTCCTTCCTGTGGGAAAAGTAAACCATAACTCAAAAAATACCAGGAGTACAATGTTCAGTTAGGCTCGGTAACGCATTGCCTCTGTTTTTTGATCTCACACGCTTCTGTTTTCTCTCAGTTCTAGTTATCACAAGTTATAATAAAAACCATACGCCACCTCACTGTACATATGCAGGTTTATGTGTGGGTTATTAGACAGAACCCTCAGGCTCTTCCTCGGAAAGTAATTTCTCCTTGAACTCCCTTGTAATTGCTCTCTGTAGAAATAGGTTTCCACTGTATTTATGAGCAGTCCACTAGAGGGAAACATGACACACTAACTCATATAGAAGCTCAAACCCCTAGGTAGCAACGTGTTTCACCCACAGCATTTCTGCATTCTGAGCTAGTCCCCACCACACACACAAAAAAACCACTTTCGTCTTCTAACAACCACCATATAATAGTGGGGCTTAATTGGAGTTTCTGCCCCAGTTGTTCAACAGCAGCAGTATTTACTCTCCAGGTTATCCAAAAAGACACAGCAATATTCCTTCCTCACATGTTAGCAAGGCAGATGAGAGCATTGAAATTTTACCCTGCCTCAGCCCAGATTCTGTGCCAACACTACATCTGAAGACAGCAGCCTCACAGCAAACCTGTCTCTAACACCAACGATCAATGTTACTGAGACTCCATTTTCAAAATGCTTCCTTCCACTTTCTTCTAGTTCATCTAGTCACAGAAAGGTTTGGTCTTAAAAAAAATATCTTTTTATGCTGATAGTATTACATATGAGCAGTTGGCGAGCCAATTAAAAACAAACCCTAGCCACAGGGTGCTGGACTGTGCTAGTATAGGACATTAACCTTAGCTGGAGCAGGTGGTGAGCAATTCCTGGGCATGCTGCCATAAATATCACTTCCTCTCTTGTTTCTTTAGAGACATCTTCAGCTGCTTGGCATTCACCATGACTCACTTCTCTGCCCTGTGAGGGCATCCTGGCCATCCCCAGGTTCCTTGCTACCAGAAAGGCAACTTTGCCAGAAGGGACAGGAATTCACAAAGCAGTTTGGTTAGGGTAGCACCCAGGGACAAATGCTAAGAGAAAGACAGCTCCAAAGAGCTTGTGTTGTGGGAGCCTAGAAGAAATGCTAGACACACAGAGGTATCTTAAGCAAGAAAATAGGAATAAATCCAAACATCGGGTTTGTTCTGAACTGTAACTCACTTGACAGAAAAGACAACTGCAGGACAGAAAAGTAAAGGTGGACACATAGGAGACCAGTCAACCTCCTCCCTCCAGTGCAAAAAGCACTGCTGGGGGGCACAAAAGTAAGCAGCTGCTATCTGAAAGAACAGCCTGCGGAACTTGGTGAAGAGGAGGTTTGTGGAGGCAGCCAGCAGAGAAAGCTGGAAGAAAATCCAAGGGAAAGGAAGCTTCAGCAAACTGTGGGAGCAAAGTAGTATTTGAAACTTCAGGCTGGGGGAAAGCAAGTGGGATCGCATGGGGTAAGAGGGTGCTTAGCTGGCCAAGGTTCACTTTCTGACAGCTGCACACTGCTGTGACCCTGAGAAACTGCCCGACGGAGCCACAGCCAGGCTGCTGGGACCCCCAGGGCGGTGGCATGGGCAGGCAAGGAAGAAGTGGAGATGGAGAGGGCATCAGGAATGACAGACTGGCATGGCCAAGAGAAACCAAAGCGAGAACAGCCAAATAGAAACCAATTCTTCACCCTCTGCACCCATCCATCGGGGCTGGGTCCCTCCTCTGTGACTTACCGCCGCCACCAGCTGCCGAGAAGGTGCCTAGGGCCTGGGGGGCGACGCAGCAGGGACCTGAGGGAAGCCAGGAGCAGTAGGAGGGTCTGCGGGGGCAGCAGGGGCGCTGCTCGTCCCCCGGGCTGAGCCAGGGTCTGTCAGCGGCAGCCCGCGAGGGAACCAGGGCCCGCCTCAGGCCGAGGACAGCCCCGGAGCCCAAGCGTGCAGCCCCGG